AGGCCAGTCCATCTTGGAAAAGGATTTGATTAAAAATGACAGGCAGCATTTCTTATTTCACCCTTTTCTGGCTTCATGCTCTCTGTTGTGCTTTGAGCTAAAAATTTCAACTGATGGAGAAAGAGAACTGGAAATAGAAGTGGTGTGGTCACTTAATGAAAAAAATACAATAAAATGAAATTTTATTAAAAGCACATGTGTTTAAACCTGCTTTACTCACTATGTACAACTATAAAAATGTGCCATGTTTTTCCACCAATTATAACTATGACAACTATGTTTCCTTTACCCCTTACAGCTACACTGCAGTTGCAATGCCAATGCTGTACAATACCCGCTACAGTTCTAGGAGACGGGTCACGGTGATGATCTCTGTGGTTTGGGTACTGTCTTTTGCCATATCCTGTCCCCTGTTGTTTGGCCTAAATAACACAGGTAAGAGAGAGTACAATGCACACATGATCTTCAGTCTGTGAATCAGTTACAGCTACAATACTGCACTGTAAATTTACTATGGAGATATTTGTGCCGGTAAAGAACTCCTTCATACCCGTGTGTATCTACGTTTAGTGAGCCTTTGGCCTTTAGGTTGGTTATGCCAAGGAACAGGGGCTTAAAGGAGGATTACTAGTAAAGCAGTTTTGATTAAGTGCTTTTTGCGAGGCGCCACCTTGTTGTTGACCAACTCCAGTGGCCTGTCACTTTGAAGCTCCACTCATCCCTTTAAGTCCTTCATTTAATGCTGGTTCAGCTCAGACTCAAACCCTGAGAAATAAACACTGACTGTAGATCGAGTTGGAATATTTGGTAGAAAGCATGAAAGAAAGAATTACAAAAAAACAAAATAAGCAGCTCAGCTTATATTTAAATGCTAACACAGCTTTGTGTGCCTGTGTATGTAACTGTGAACAAGACCACTGCTAACCATCTAAATTGCAGTTCAATGTATTCAAATCTCTGGGTTCAGTGATTCAACACTTCAATAAAAGCTCAGCTTATATAGCAATTTAGTAATTGACTTCTGTGAAGTTTAGCAGGTCAGAAGACATTTAAAAATGGAGAAAAGTGAAGCAGCAGATAGCCAGACTTCTAGCCCAGAATGTGAATTGAGCTTTAAAAACACTGGATCCTACATTTCTATGATAGCAACTACTGAAGACTTCCTGCATCTGTCTTGAACCTTGTTAGTGGAAGGATAATTCTATGTATAAAATTGGTGAAGTCCCCCCTAAATAGACTACTTTCTCTAGCCTTTTAGCCACAGCCTTCAGCGTGACAGTTGGACAGGTTTAACTTGAAATGCTGCAATTTTCTTTATAATTTTTGGTTTTGGTTTGTCCAAAAAGCTGGAAATAAAGCCCAGAGAAGCATCGCCTCCGTTTCTAAACTAGTTTTTAGGGAATTTTAAAAATGAGGGCAATTCATCTAGTAAATTATTAAAATCTAAACTTATCAAACAACCCTTGCAGAGTCCAAAACTGGGGTGATATGATCTCTGCATTTGGCTCCACAGCTATAAGGCAGTCCACATGGGCTGTGAGAAGTGGGAGTACGGTTAATGTGAGTGGAGGTGAGGTAGAAAGACTGCTGTGTAAATAACCTCAGAGTGAGGAGAATGTAGAAGTGGTGA